ATACACAAGCGTTTCCAATCACGTCTAGTTCTAGTTTTCTAGATCTCACACCTCACAGTCTCACAACCTCCCTTCTAACAAGTACAACCCACGGGGTGTGGGGTGGACTGGTGGGAGCCTCATGTTCCCCGGTGGTTTTAGGAGGTTAATTAATTAAAGCCGTCGGAATAGCGTCAAGATCCTATCGGCGGGTTTAATTTCCGGTCAAGGACATTAATACTCCGCCACTGCTGCCCCTTCCCAGTTCCCACACAAGTCATAACCACCACATACCAAAATTAAGGGCATTGCTTTTGCTTGATCAGTATGGACAACTAATAGCAAGTAAATTGGGAGACAATTGATGGATTAGGATAGAGATTGAAAACCCAGCAGTGCCATTGATGATGGAGTTCAGACATACTTTGATTATTTTGATCTCTCCAATTAAGCTTAAGATAAACTACTAAAAGCAAATTAAACGTGCTGACAATAATTATATATAACAATAAAGAATTGGAAAAACCTTAGGATGTAAGCAAAGAGTAATATCTCTTTAAGGGTTTTTTTTTTTTCTTTTTCCTGAAAGCACAACCAAACAACTATGCCTAACTTAGAAGTGATGTTGAGTGCCGCTACTTCATTATATATCGTTAGTGGTAAAGTATAAATGGTTTTTGGAAGTTGTAGATGGTGATAGAATTTGACTTTGAACGTATGCTTCTGCTTTTACGAGTAGAGAAAGGAAAAAACTTTTAAAATTTGGTTGGTGGACAGTAGTAGGTTGGTCGGGTAGGTCGCGCGTTTCAGGTGTGAACTAGAAGAAACTGCTCTTTCGGTTTATTATTATTGAGATTTGAGGAGTCCTCATCTTTTCTCCTTGTTATTCAGCCTGTTGCCGCTTCTTGTTTATTTGTGGTATGGTGTAGTTGGGGTCTGCGCTAGCTATTCAATTTGCTGCCACTGTGGCACGGTCTCCTCTTTTTCCTTTCTTTCTCTCTTTTTCTTTTGTTTTGTTCATCTTTATTTGGTTATAGTTTCAGGATTACTGTTTATGCTCTGAGTTTTTTAGGTTCGATTTGAGTTGATCTCCCTGTTATCTGAATTGGGAACCCAGTTAAAGAGAAATCTCTGTTTGAAACTTTCCAAGTCTTCCTTCCACTTGGAGTGCTTTCTGAAAGACCATGCTTCCGAATCAAATCGAACCATGTTGAATCTTGTCTCTAGCTAGTTTGGAGGTTACTACAGCCAGCATTTACATCATTCAGACTTCAAGAGTGGAGTAATACATAAAAAGAATTTGATTTGTTTAATTCTATTGAATCTTGTGCTTTAGGTTGACCCCTATTTCATCTGGGCTAGAGAGTAGAGATTGCTAAATGACTGCCTGCCTTTTTCGTCTTCGTCAAAAATGAAGAAAGAAGAGAAACATATATTCTGTGAATTAAGATAAATGGAGAAATCAAGTACTAAACTTTGTTGTGTCCACATGTATGGAATTACTTGGACTATAAATGACTTCTTTTTCAAAGCATGAGATGGACGTAAAATTATGCTTTTGTCATAATTGAGTGTTCCCTAAAAGGCTATCTAGGATTATGAAGACGATAATTAAACCTAAATTAGTGGACATAAAAAAGTGCCTAATACATTGTATTTAATATTCTAATGTATATTTTGTACATTCTCTTTTATGCCTCTTTCCTGTTTTTTTGTTTTGCAATTTTACCCAAAGAAGCCATAGCTGCAACAAATGTTCCACAAAAACTAATGATTTTATGAGAGAAATTCACTACGGAACAAAAAAATTGAACATCTTTTTAAGGTACCGTCCTAAGACAAAATTTGGGGGGCAAATAAGCACATATGGAATACAATTATTTTTAGGCCTCTTCCAGGTTTATCTGGTTGACGCTGCTTCTCTCTACATCAACCTCACATATACACCCACTAGCTTGTCAATTAGATCAGTTTCACACTTGGTATTGTCAATCTAACAAACAAATTTCTCGTTTGGGTAGGAAATATTTGAAAACCCAAGAACCCAGAAGTTAGCTTACTTAGTCCACTAAAATCTAACAAGCATAGCCTTAAATCAGTATAAGGCCGTGTTTGGGAGTGATTATTCGAAATAAGTGCTTATTTGGGCTATTAAGATTTTATTGGTATTTGAGAAATAAGCCTAAAATAAGTGTTTATTTTAAATAAGAAAGCCCAAAATTTCAGGTTTTTTTAAGTGCTTATACAAGCACTTACTCAATTTTTTTCTTTCAAAATTATCCCTAGTTGAATTTTAAAATACCACTTATAAAATTATCCCTAGTCGAATTTTATAAAAGTACTTTCGTAATAGTGATTTCATAAAAGTACATTTAAAAAGTGCTTTCATAAAAGTTTTATAACAGTAATTTCGTAAAAATACTTTTACAAAAGAACTTTTATAAAAGTGTCTTCACAAAAGTACTTTTAAAGGTGCTTTCGGAAGTGTTTTTATAAAAGTAGTTTAATAGAAGTACTTTCATAAGGGTATATTTTGAAAATTTGATAGAAAATGAATGACAAAATAGTCACAAATGCTTATTGGAGAAAAAGACTACCAAACACCCAATATGAAATAAGTGCTTATTTTATTAAAATAAGCAAATGAAAAAGTTGGGTGTCAAATGCAAATAAGTGCTTATTTGAATAAGCACTTATTCTTAAGTTAAACACTCCCAAATATGGCCTAAGTGTCATAATTTTTAGGGGTAATAGTATATAAGGGTAACTTTTGGGGTTTAATATCAATAAAAGTAATATATTTACAAAAATTTCAAAAATAGGTTAACTTTTTAAAAATAATATCAATAAAGGGCAAAAACACTATTCATCTTCTTCTTCTTGCCATTTGTTCACTAGAGCCGCCATTCGCCGCCGCCTGCCACCGTCGCTCGCTGCCCCCCGCCGCCTCCGCCTCTGCCTCCGGCAATGTTGTCGAAGGTGGCCAAAGGCAAAGGTGGCAGCGGCAGCGCTGGTGGTTTCTCTGTCCAATGCTGCCACCTCCGCCTCCAGCAACATTGCCGGAGGTGGTCGGAGGCAGAGGTGGCGGCGGCGGCGCTGGTGGTCATTCCTCTGCCCGTCGTCGCCGCCACCTCTGTCTCCACCCATCTCCGGCAACGTTACTGGAGGTGGGCAGAGGTGGTGGCATTGGACAGAGAAACCACCAACGCCACTATCGCCACCTCCGACAACGATGTTAGAGGCGGAGGCAGAGGCGGCAGCGAGCGGCGGCTTTGATCAACAAAGGGGGCAAGAAGAAGAAAATGAACAATATTTTTGCCCTTTATTGATATTATTTTTAAAAGGATAACCTATTTTTGAAAATTTTTTAATTATATTACTTTTATTGATATTAAACCACAAAAGTTGCCCTTATATGATAAAAACCCTAATTTTTACTCCCATATGAGGAATCCCTACTTGTGCTGATTTGGTTTTCTTGCCTTCTTGGCCCACTTGCACTTGCTAATGGATCCTCTTCTCAGGCAGCTTATACCCTCCATGACATTGGCCCATAGCTATGAAAGATGGGACCGAGATTGGCAAATGGATTCCTTTCAAAACTTTAACCAGCCTGTTCAGGACTCTAGAAATTTCCACCCAAAATTTCCTTAATAAATTAGCTCAGCACAGTTTTTCCACATAAGCCTTACGTAAACAAGATTCTATGCTTTAGAGTCCAAAATGGCACGACCTCTTACAAGAACGGGATGGTAGGGATTATAAGCTTGTAGATTAATTGATGCAAGTCTGGGTTGCCCCATTTAAAGAATTCCAATATCCAACAACTACATTGGGCTTGGGTTTGGGCTTCAGCCCACCCAGAATTTAACAAACTCCCAGCCTAACCCAACGTAACCCAAGTTGCAGATCTAACTGGCAATTGCTGGAACCTATTCAACCCACCCAATTAACCTAACCTCACCCAACCAAAATTGCCACCACTCCTAAGTCTAAATTCTAAAGAAACTAGTTAGTACAATATACTTGCCAATTACCAAACTAGTAACACACTCGCGAAAGGTGGCGACTCTGAGTGAAAGTTGGGGGAATCTGTGTAACTGTGTTAATTAGAGGAGTCATCAGTAATAATTAATATACGTATCTCACACAGGGATAAAGTTTAGGTGGAGGTGTGGGTTAATAAAATTTAAAAACTAATAAAAGTTTGTGAGGTGGACTGAAATCTAAATTTTAAAAAACTAGAAATAAACCAATCTGTGGGGTGCATTTATAAGGTATACAAGAAACCAATTTCAGGAAATCTAGCAATGCCGCTAGTATTGCTCTAACCGGTATATCGAAAACCGGATCAGATTCTTTTCAATCCTCAAATATGAACGAGTATGGCAAAAACCCGTCCCTAAAGTTAGCTACTAGACGAACGCTTACGACCTTACGTTGAATCGTGACACAACCCACAGGCCCAGTGGATGAGGCTCAGGCTCCTGATGATGATCGCGTCCTCCTAGGGGGGACAACACAGAATGTCTTTGGGTTGCAACTCGGGACGGGTTAAATCGGGTCGAGGTCATTCATAAGTCATACCCCAACTCCCCAAGTACCCAACGAGTTAATATAATTGCTTGTTGTATGCATATATATTATATTTGGATTGGATCTAATCGACATATGACAAAAGCCTCAATTCTAACCCTAATCAAACTTAAACCTGGCCCAATCCAATCTAACTTTTTTTTCATATTGGACGTGGGCTAATCCAGCCCAAGTTTCACCCCTAGTTAGACTAGCTTCTAGCTCAGAACAGCTAATTTCACGGGATCATGCAATGGGCTGCCCTAGTAGCCCATACCCCCCCACCGGCCCACCCCACCAAGCTTTGGTGGAGGATATCGATACATGTCTCCGCTACAATCGGCCAGTTTATTGATTCTTGGCCAATCATTGTTTGACACATCATCCTAACACGTGTGAAATGAATCTGACGACACATCATCGAAAGGTCCTCAGTCTTCCGACGATGTTCGCATTCCGTTCCCTCTGCTTTCCTCCGCTAGTTCTAGACTTCTAGTTGAAGTGTTGAACTGAACTGGCTACCGAGTACCAGTGAGAGAGGAAGACAGAGCTGAGGTCGTGTAGGGTGTGAAACATCCATTCAGGAATTAGGGTTCTTTATGAATATGTCATCTAGCCGCCGGCGAATGAAAAGGGGGTGATTGAGTGACGACATCATGAACTATCTACCCTAGGTGAGAGCCTGACCTGAGTTCAGTCAAGAATTAGGGTTCTCTCGGAAAATGTCATCTGGTGGATCAAAAGGAGTAATGGAGGGGGATTTGCAGGTTGTTGCGGTGCCTAAGAAACCAAAAGCTGCTCTTCCTCCTCTCCCACCGGCCTCGGGGTCTAACGCCATTGTCGAGTACACTAAGCCTGTCCCAAAAGAAGAAGAAGACTTGGAGGTTAAGCTTCGCAGGATCATCGATCACGTACCCGTTCGTGTCAGCAACACCTCCGGTAGCTCCGCTGGTTCCGGCTCCGGTGACTTCCATCAGGTAGTGCAAGACTTTCGGTGCCCCCAAACCCTGCATCTCAAAATTCCCTTTCCTTTTCTTTCTCTAGTTGAAATTGCTATTCTCGTTTTATGGGCGGGTTGTTTGGTTAAAGTTATTCAATCCCGACCTTTTTGGTATGCTCTCTTTTTATCTTTTACCGTTTATCATCTGTTCTTGTTATTTTAGTAAGATAGGGGGATGTTAGTATGAGAAAATGTTTAAACCTTTGTCCATCCACTGCTAAGCAGTTATTCTTCTCTATATGGGCATGGGAGAACTCAACGAAGACAATTTAAGAAACACTAAAAGTAAAAACCCAACCTCAATGACATACAAAGGAACTTAGTTATGCGAAGAGAAAATTAAGAGTATTAGATAGGTAGGTTTTCCAAAATCACCTGAAATAGTATCATTTCATTTAGTTTTTCCTGGCATTTGAATGCGGTAGCTCATAATCTAAACTACATCCATTGGTGGAATGTTAACAGAAATCTCCCTGTTAGTGGTTGTCTTCTCAGTTGCAGTTAGGCATATACTGGAAGGAGAAGGAAAATTATGTACTAGTTATCGTCCATGCAGTTGCATGGTGCATTTAGTAAGAAAGGAACAGTGATAAATCATCTTAAATGCATCATTGCCAAAGTCGTAGGTATAATATTTGATAGAAAAAGAATCTTATGCATGATGGTTTCTTAAACCTCAACCTATAAGGGCATTTCACTATTACAATACAGAGTGGTGTATGACCAGTAGCATGCTACATTGAATCTCATATCACCTTTTATTGATAAGTTGGTAAGAGCTAGTTGGCACCCTTCTAGTTCTAGTGGAATGAGTATTTAGCTAATAAGTGCAAGTCAAGGTGTGTGTGCCTGAATGAAGTGAGGCACCATTTTGGAAAAAACAATGAAGGAAAAATTAATATATAAGAACTTGCACATAGGCTCAACCATTTAAATTCCAAGCACCATTGGATAAAAAGGCCATTATCCAATGTTGGTCCCAGAAATATGGAGATGGAAGGGTGGGTAGACTCAAAAGTGGCTACTCCCATGCTCGAACCTGCATTCTCATGCTTGTCATCCTGAAGATTTTACTATTTCACTAAGCAATGGCCCCTAATCAAAACTCTGAAATAAATTACTTATTCAAGGTTAACTCATCAAAACAATACAATGAACAAGGTAAGGTGCACCTGTATTCAGGTAAGGTGCACAGTGCACCCCCACAAAATGAGACTTGTCTGTGTGCCTTAGGTGTTCCTTAAGACACTTTTGGATGCCTGAATACTGGGAAGCCATGGACCACATATCATTGGGAAAACTGACTAGTGATACTTTTGGAGTTAATATAAATTGGCATTCAGATCCTATTGCAAAGAAGGCCATTTATTTGGAGATGTTTGTTTGTTGTAGTTCTTTAAAACAACAATATTAAACTTTCTATAACATAATCTCACTTAAACCAACTTTTGATGCCACTGTAAAAGAGGCCATTGCCCAATGTTGGTCCCGCTTTCCCAGCTATCTGGGGTTCTGGGAGTGGTAGAGTTTATATGGTTCTAGCCTTCGGCATTTCTTGCACAAAGTGGCTACTCTCAGACTTGAACCAACGTTCTCAGGCTCGGCAGTCCTAGATTTTACCATTATGCCAAGTAATGACCCTTATTTCTTGATGTCATTATCTATAACCAGCTTAAATGATTGAGTTTGCATATTCATCAAAAAAATGATTGAGTTTGCACTTGGTTCAATAATGAATTGGACCTAACTAACAGGTAATCACATATCACACTTAAGGGGCTACCTAGCTAACAGGTAAATCACACTTAAGGGGCTTGCCTGGGTGACAGCATTGGACTAGCTGGCTAGTGGCTAAAGTGAATCAGTGCAGTTGTTAATATTTATCCAAGGTTTAAAATGTTGGTGTCGATGGAATGTTGGGCATCTAAATATAGGAAACATGAAAAAATTATAGAGGTGGTGAAAACATTGTAAAATATATTGAACTATACAATGATATTTTATAGGGCAAATTTCTTAAAAGTACCCCTAAGGTTTAGTTAATTGGCTAACTCTACCCCTACGTTTGACTATTGTCTTAAAGTATCCCTACTGTTTCTGACAATTGACTAGTTCTAGCCCTGTCGTTAACGTCCGTCAATGTTGCGTCAAAATCCGTACACACGTGACACCACGTGACATATAAATATTTTTAAAACCCAATACTACCCTCCATCCCTCTTCTCTTCACTTCCTCTATTCCTTCTCTTCTTTGATAGCAACACCATCGTCTGAGTTTTTCTCTCTCTGATGCCATTCTCAACGTTTGAATCAAGGGGGCTGGGCTCGCTGGCACTCATGGTAGCTTTAGCAATGGAAATCCCACAATTAGTTCCGGTGTTAGTCATCCTTTTCGCTCTCTACCCCGTTGAGTAACAACAAGCCGGCAATCCCTCCGGAATCAAGATCACCACCATTATCAAACAACGAAGCTGACATGTTACAGATAATTGGAGATAGGTTGAGGAAACTCGCCGAAATCAATTTCAGTCTAGCAACTCTATAACTTTTTTAAGTAAAAATGTAGTCCATTTCTACATTTAAGCTTTCAACCTAATTGGATCCTCTGATCGCTTCAAGTTCAAAGGAAGAGAAGAACACAAGAAACCTATGAAGAATAGAAGAAAATGTAGTTCTAGCTTCCCACCTCACTCCCCTTGTTCCTTGCCATTTAGAAATCTTTCAGTAGTTCCCTGAAACATCGATCTGACACAGAGATGGATTCCATCTGTTCGGTAACCAGGACTATTGATGATCATCCTCCAATGGGTCTTGAATCTGGGTTCTAGCGCCGGCATTGTCATTTAGCCCAGAACATAGTGAGTGAAATGGCTACCAATGGCCAAACACCTGGCCGAACACAAGGGTTCTGGTGCTTGCCAACACCTAGCCAAATAAAACCAACATCCAATTACATTGGATGGTGAAATGGCTATCAATGGAACAAGCTCTTCTTTTCATTTTTAACATCTTCAGTATCCCCCACTAAGTTTCTGAGTTTTTCCACTCCCAAGTGTGAGTTCTAGATCATCCATTCCTATTTCGTGAATCCTCTCTCCCTCTCAAGGTTTCACCCTTTCGCTTTCGAGCTCAAACTCTGATCCCCGTCCCAGCTCATCCCTCCAAGACTTACAACAGCATCCTGGCTTGAGTTTTGCTCAGTCACAGACTTCACTAGGTTAAATATAGGCGAAGAAGGAGAAGCAATAGGACCAACTGAATCAACTGTGGAGGCATCAGACTCATCACACTCGGGTATGGTGGTAGGTGGCTGATGGTGACGGCGAGTTGGGCTTGCAGGAGCAAAGGTTGCAAAAAATGAAGAGCTTCCACATCAGGGTTCAGTTTAGGAGCTCTTGAAGTTGGAGAAGACAAAGGTAGCGATTGCAAAAATGAAGAGCTTTGATGTGGCTAAAACTGCACTCGAGAACACAAGGGACCGGCTGGAGTTCTTCCATGTAAGTTTCTAGAATTTCTGCTTCTTATGAACCAGCATTTCTTTCCCCTTTTCCCTGTTTTATTTTGAAAATTTGAAGAAGTATAAAGGGTAAAATAGTCTTTTTTGTCTTTCTGTTAGCGGTCGCTAATGGTAAGGGAAGTATTAGTCAATTGTCATAAACAGTAAGGGTAGCGTTAGTCAATTTTCAAACAGTAAGGGTACACTTGGTCAATTAACTAAACCATAAGAGTAGTTTAAGAAATTTACCCTATTTTATAAATGAAAATAAAATATGGATACACTTTTATATTATTATCTTGTTCCAAACCATCAAACAAAACAAAGAAAATAAGATTAATAGACAAAACAATGTGCTGTGAAGTAGTTTTATAGACTTTATGAGTTAAAACTACATGGAAGAAGATAAGTGAAATTTAAGCTCACAGAATGTCCAAATGATTTTTAATAGATCAACCAAATGATCTATTATACAAATAAAAACAAAGATTTAATATCACATCCAAAAAAATTCTATCTCATTCATCATATTATAATACCATCTTGTATACTTTTCTTTTGAAAAAGGTAATATAAAGTATCGTATTAATTATCATTACGAACGCCCTTGTACAATGAGATTCTGTACATCAGATCACAGGGTATTAATATTCAAAGAACTCTATGGACAAAAAGGATTGACAGAACTCTCCACTGATTATATTGCTAGCAGAGAGCCAGTCCCTAATCAGGCCAAAAGCAGAATTAGTTAAAGATACCACTGAGCTCTTTTTGCTCTCAAAAAGCTGAGCATTTCTTTCCATCCATGTAGCTCAAAAGATGGCCAGAGGTATCACTGCCCAAGCTAACATGCATTTCCTGATCATATTTTGAACATGCCACCCACCCAGGTGCTCACTAACAGAATTAGAATGACTTCCCTGCCATTGAATTGCATCATGAAAATGAGTCCATATTCTTCTAGTGAATATTTACGGTGGATGAGCAAATGACTAGAAGATTCAAGCTGCTCTTCACAGAGAGGACAATCAGTGTTATCCAAGGTCATGCCCCTTCTCAATAAGTATTCTTTTGATTAACATTTGCTCAGCACCACCAACGATGTAAAGAACTTGACCTTTGAGGATGCCACAGTACTCCAAACCTCCTTATAAGGAAAGTCCCTCGACTTCAGTTAGTTTCTTGTAGAAAGGATTAACTGAGAACTTACCAGAACTGTGCCATTTCCAAACTCTGGAGTCCCTCCCCTGAACATTGCAATTCTGATTCTGGATCAAGGATAGCAGTTCAAAAATTTGTCCCAATTCCCAATCATTGAAATTTCTTCTGAACACAGGAGTCCACACAGGATTGCCTCTAACAATATTATAGGAGTCTGCAACTGTTGTATACTTGTTGCATGCTAATCTTTATAGACCAGGAAATAAGGCTTTCAAAGTAGAGTCATCACACCACGCATCTCTCCAGAAGCTAACTCTTCTTCCATCACCATCCTTATGTTTTATGCATCTCAGAAAATGAGGATGGGCTTTGCAAGTACCTCTCCAAAGGCTGCAGCCATAAGTAATTTCTAGAATATCTGCATCCCACCCATTGCTTTCAACACCATACTTACTGACAATGATCTTCTCCAAAGACTGTCTGGATCACTAAAGAACCCCCCATAACCATCTTCGAAGGAGGGAGAGATTGAATTGCTTTACCTTTCTGATGCCCAAACCACCACATCTGACAGGCTTACAGACTTCAACCCAACTCACTGCGCTTTAGGATTTTTCCAACCTGACCATCTTGTCTACTCCTCCACGTAGCATCGATAGTTTTCACTAGGGAATATATATATATATATTTTATCAATAACACTTTCATTAATTCATCAGTAGAAAATTTACAAGTGGAAGACAAACACACTTATCTTCCAAGAGTCACAAAGAACTTCAAGAAATGAAAAAAGAAATTACAAAGATACAACACTAGGGAATATATTGATTCTAGTAATATTTCATATCAGTACTCATGGAAATGGAAATATAAAATATGTCATGTATATCTGTAAATATGCCAGCATTTTAAACCATGCATTTATCTAGTCTCATAACATTCTTTGGTTTCATCTACAACAAATAGAAAGGCCTTTATTTTGGTCTAAGATAGAGAAAAAAAATGATAGGCATAGAAGAGTTAGAAGAGAGGAAATAAAGAGTAAATAGAAATAGGAGAGGAAAAAAGAATTGAGCTTTTCAGGCCTGGATCTCCTGAAAGCAGAACTCTGAGAACATGGCATCCAGCTACACATGGAAATATTGTCCTTATAGAAAAATATCAGAAATATCTTCCTTGCATGTATATTAAATTCACAGGTAAAATGTTCTGAATGTGTGGCTGGATGCCCGTGCTTTCAGAATGTTCAGATTTTTGCTTTCAGGAGATCCCTCGTGAGATTTTCTATTAATGGTACTTGGGTTTCCTCCAGGATTTTGAATGAAATCTTGAAATATGGTTCACAGTTTCCCTTCTGAAACCAGATTCTAGAGTCCTGGTTGAAATTTTGTGCTTTATTCAGGAGGGCACCATGCATTGAATTTTTCCATTTGCTTCTGCATTCATTTAGTATGAGTGTTAGATGGGTGAACTGTTATTCTTTAAATAGTATTCAAATCTGCAATGGACACATTTGTAAATTTGCCATACCAAATAGTATTAATCCTATTTTTTTTTATCATTAGTATTAATCCTATTCTTGAACCCAAAGTTCTATTATGATTCCTTTATTAGTATTCCTGGACATTTACCTTTTCTTCAAAAAAAAGATAGTATTCCTGGATATCATTTATCTGAAATTCTTGTTACAACAGTATCGGCAAATGAGACGGAAGGAGCAAGATCGGCTTGCTAGGATGGATGCAGACTACCAGAAAAGAAAGGAACTAGCTGAGTTTAATATGAGAAGGGAAGAAAGAATGAAAGCTGCAGAAGAGAGAACTGCAAAGAAGCGCTTGAAACGCCAAAAGAAGAAACAAAGAAGGAAGGAGAAGAAAGCTAAAATGAATGCTGGTGGGGGAGAGCAAGAGAAAGACTCTTCAGCTGACAATGACTCAGATAGTGGTGAAGATGAAAAGTGAGGCAAGGTTATTCATTCCCTATTTGCAGTTTTGTTTTCCTTGTTTTTTCTTTTCTTTTCTTTTTTTTTTTTT